CTCATTTATTGTACCAACACATATTATATACCGTTTTTTAGACAACAAAAAGGGCTTTAATTTGATGCGACATATACATGTATACATTCTCATTTATTACAAAAAAAAATGCAAAATAGTGTGTAAAAAAACAAAAAAATGCTTTTTTTCCCCAAGTTTTGGCAATAATAATGTGTGCATAATATGTCCAGCTTAGGAAAAGTAATTCAAAATCAATTAATTTATGTGTCTTGATTTACAAAGTACATAATATGTGTAGGATTTCAGTTTATTTTGAAAGTTACAGGTCACAAACTACAAGGTCTAAAATAAAATTTCAATGTGAAACAATTTTAGAAGTTGGTATGTTTGTCTTGGAAGTTTAATATCCATTACAGGACACAAAATTGCCACACAAAAGTTTATATAAAGTAGACATCACAGGCTATTTACCTAAGGTAAGTTTGACACTTTTTGCGTAGCCATTTCACCGCCAATCTCTGCTAAATATTGGAGTAAAATTGTGTTTTTTCTCTATTTTGGCATGTACACATATAACAAGGTTTTTGTAATGTGTATTTCGTAAACCTAGTGTGTGCTATCCCTGTACATAACCCCATATTGTGTTCAGCTACATCTGCTGAGTGTCACGATTCCGGAACCTAACACGCTAACAGGTCACAGAGAGGAAGGGTGCTATACCGGTCCTTAGAGTGGCCGGGCTAAGCACACTAAGAATGGTCAGGAGACAAGCCAAGTAAAGGGAGCCAGAAAACGGGAGAACGAGAAACAAGCCGAGGTCAAAGGAGTGGAGAAGACAGGATAATCGGAATAACGAGCCAAGTAATCGGTAACCAGAGAGCAAGACAAGAACACTACGCTACAGGTAACACAAGACCACAACAGGGCACTGAGGGACAGGAAAGGTAACTATAAATACCCTTGGTTTAATTCTGATTGGATAACTTCCAATCAGAATTAACAATCACACGTGGGAGATATCTATACCTCCCATTGTGATTGTGGTACTGTTCCTTTAACACCGGGTCACTCACGTGACCCCGGCGTTTACATAATTCATTGACCTCCCAGCGTGCAGCGTTATACATGCTGCCGCTGGGGGGTGTGGAGGACGCGGGCGGCGAGCGGCAGAGAGGAGACGCCGCTCGCCGACAGGTAAGCAGAGGGGAGAACACGGGCGGCGATGGACTGAGGGTGAGTGCTGCAAGTGGCGTGCAGCCTCCCCTCCTAGCCGCCCGCGGATCCCTGAAATAACCCCCCCTCGAGGCACGCCCAACGGGCGGGAAGCCGAAGGCTTCAAAGGGAACCGCGCATGAAAGGAGCGGTTTAAAGAGGGCGCATTCAAGTCAGAGGCAGAAACCCAGGACCGCTCCTCAGGGCCGTAACCCTTCCAATCAACCAGATACTGCAACCGACCCCGAGAAAAACGAGAATCAAGCAGAGCAGCCACTTTGTACACGTCATCAGAGACAGCGCGGAGGGAATCTGGACGCCTGAGAGGACCAGAGAATCGATTACAGAGCAGGGGCTTCAAAAGGGAGGTGTGGAAAGTGTTAGGTATATGCATGGAAGGAGGCAAGGCCAGGGAGTAGGACACAGGATTGACCCTACGCAATACCTTATAGGGGCCAAGGAACCTGGGCGTGAATTTCATTGAGGGGACCCTGAGGCGGAGATTCTTAGAGGACAACCAAACCCTATCACCCGGGACATAAGAGGGAGCAGCACCCCTATGACGATCAGCAAATCTCTTCTGAGTAGCAGTCGCACGAGAAAGAGTAGCATGGACCTGATCCCACATCTTCCGTAAGGAGGTGAGGTACTCGTCCAAAGCGGGTATTTCCTTGTCGGAGAACACGCCGGGAAGGACAGAGGGTTGGAACCCATAAGCAACCATAAAAGGACTTAAGCCAGTGGACGAATGAGTCACAGTGTTCCTGGCGAATTCAGCCCAAGGAAGAAGGTGAGACCAGTTGTCCTGGTGTGCATTCGAGAAGCAACGTAAATATAACTCCACAGATTGATTCGCCCGTTCGGCCGCTCCATTAGATTGTGGATGATAGGAGGAAGTAAACGACAAGGAAATCATCTCAGCACAAAAGCCCATCCAAAACCGAGAGACAAATTGCGGACCCCTGTCAGATACGATATCCTGTGGTATACCATGCAAGCGGAAAACCTCTTTAGCAAATACCTGAGCCAACTGAACCGCTGAAGGTAGTTTCTAAAGTGGAATAAAGTGTGCCATTTTAGAGAATCTATCAGTCACAGTCAAAATTAATGTCATTCCATCGGATGAAGGAAGATCCACAATAAAGTCCATGGATAAGTGGGTCCATGGTTTCTTGGGTACGGATAAAGGCATTAGGAGTCCCGGGGGTTTGACATTAGGGGACTTACACTGTGCACAAACACGACAAGCCTGCACATAATCCACTACGTCTTGCTTAAGTGAAGGCCACCAAACCTGTTGAAGGAGACCCTTGTATGTTTTGGTAACCCCTGGGTGACCAGCCGTTTTGGCAGTGTGAAATAAAGCTAACAATTTCTTTCTATCTTTTTCTTTCACGTATAATCTACCAACAGGTGTCTCAGAGGGTGCTTGGGTTTGGTATGTCTTGATACCATCAAGGAAAAGAGACGAAATAACTAAACGGGTAGCAGCTATTATCTTAGACGTGGGTACAATGGGTTCAGGAGCGGGGGCGATAGACTCCAAAGGTTCGTATTGTCGGGAGATAGCATCAGCCTTGACATTACGGTACTCAGGCCTATATGTGATAATGAACTGAAAGCGTGAAAGAAATAAGGACCATCTGGCTTGACGAGAGGACAACCTTTTAGCATCAGCTATACAGGAGAGATTCTTATGATCAGTTATAACCAGGATTTTGTGTCTAGCTCCTTCTAATAAGTACCTCCACTCTTTAAATGCCATCACAATAGCTAATAGTTCCCTATTCCCGACGTCGTAATTCTTTTCCGAATCAGACAGTTTTTTTTAGAAAAGTAACAACAGGGATGGAGGGGTTCTTTATAGGATAATCTTTGTGATAATACAGCTCCTATACCTGATTCTGAAGCGTCTACTTCCATTATAAAGGGAAGGGAAGGATCAGGATGGTGTAGCACAGGGGCAGTGGCAAATGCCTTTTTGAGGGTTTCGAAGGCTTTGATGGCTTCAGGAGTCCAAACCCTGGGGTGCAAACCCTTTTTAGTTAGTTTAGTGATAGGAGAAATGACCAATGAAAAGTTTTTAATAAACCTGCGATAATAATTGGCAAAGCCTATAAATCGCTGTATTGCCTTAAGGCCTTGAGGGAGAGGCCAAGACAATATGGCTTCTAATTTAGAAGGATCCATGCTGAACCCCTGTTCAGAAATGATGTACCCTAGGAATTGTACTGATTTCTGGTCAAATAAACATTTCTCCAATTTACAATAAAGACTGTTCTGTAGCAATCTCTTAAGTACCTTCCTCACATGGGCATGATGTGACTCCAAATCAGGAGAAAATATGAGTATATCATCGAGATAAACCACAGCACAGACATGCAGTAGATCTCTAAGGACATCATTTATGAGGTCCTGAAAGACAGCAGGAGCATTACACAGTCCAAAAGGCATGACTAGATACTCGTAATGCCCACTGCGTGTATTGAACGCTGTCTTCCATTCATCATTTTCTTTTATCCGAACCAAGTTGTAAGCCCCCCTGATTTCTAGTTTAGTAAAATATCTAGAACCTTTAACACGGTCAAACAACTCAGTAATGAGAGGGATAGGATAAGCATTTTTAATTGTTATATTATTCAGGCCCCTATAGTCTATACATGGTCTCAAATCGCCCTCTTTCTTGGCAACAAAAAAGAAACCAGCACCAGCCGGAGAGGAGGACCTTCTGATAAAACCTTTCCATAAGGATTCCTGTATGTACTCCTCCATGACCTGGTTTTCTTTCTCAGAAAGCGGGTAGACCTTACCCCTAGGAGGCATCGTTCCAGGTAACAAGTTTATGGCACAATCATAATCCCGGTGTGGGGGTAGTTTATCAGCTTCCCTCTTTTCAAAGACCAATGCGAGGTCTGCATACAGAGGAGGGACAGAAACAGAAAGTGGTTTAGCCGTAGGCACATTAAGTAAACAAACGGGATGTAAACGGGTCATACAGTCTTGTTGACAAGATACCCCCCAGGAGAGTATATCTAGAGAATCCCAATCGAGTACCGGGTTATGCTTAACTAACCAGGGAAAGCCCAGAATGATGGAAGCTGTAGGGGAGTCAATTATTTGGAAGGTTATCTTTTCTTGGTGTAAAGCACCCACAACCATAACCATTTCTTGGGTTTCATGGGTCACCAGAGGTTTATCAAGTGGTCTACCATCTATGGCCTCAATGGCCAAGGGTGTGGCCTTTTGGATCAGATTCAAGGCTGCGGTTTTAGCAAAGTTCTCATCCATAAAGCTGTCTGCAGCACAGGGGATCTCCCCGGCCCGGCCCTGCATAGTGCCTCCATGGGCCGGTGGGGAGATCAAACATCTCCCTTACCGGCCCAGAGGCATGGAGAGCAGCCGCCGGCTGGGGAGGGAGGGAGGGAGGGAGGGAAGAGAGAGGACCCGGCAGAGCTCTAACCAGCAGCTCCGCCGGGTCCTCTTGCGGGATTCTGAGCGTTGCCACGGTTACCACGGCAACGCTCAGCTCTCGCGAGAGTGAACTCTAGCCTGCATGTTAGAGTTCACTCTCACCACTGCACCACCAGTGAATGCAGCATGGTCCCCCCTCAAGGCAGAATGGCTAC